CCCCAAAACCCCAAAACCCCAAAACCCCAAAACCCCGTCAATAAAAATCGTAAATTTTATCTAAAAATGATTATGAATTCTTAATGAAATTTAAATTAATAGTTTACTTAAACATTGGGTTTAACTATTGTTTTTAATTTAACAAGGGGGCATTAAAATTTATTATTGACTTACTGCCAACTATAAGAGGATCAATCTTAACTTGCGATGACTTTTTTAAAGTTCTATCAGGACATGTTTATCTTTTTCAAATCATTGACTCTTACTTAAGAACATTACTGATACTCCTAGTATTTGTCTCTAAGAATTTCAATCAGATCAAATTCTTCGTCAAACTCTTTTGGGTTGAATTCGTTCTCCTCTTAGAAATTGAATTATTAATTACTATCAGCTTCTTAATTTTCTGCAATCTATTCTTAGCTTTACTCTTCTGCAATGAGAGGAATCAAAGATTTACAATTAAAGAACTTAAAAGGGACCTGCTTATCTCTTGAATTTTGTAAATTCTACCACAGAAATAGGGACCCATCCACTGAGATATCTCTTATTTCTTCTAGAAATTAATGTAGATTTTAAGACGTCAGCTCTTGACCTATTGGCTTGTTATTAGTACTATCATTCTTTATAAGACTTGGGATATTTTGATTAAATAATATGTTATTAGTTCTCTTCAAATTTTAATTATTAATACTTAGTTCATTTCGAGTGACTTGAGTTTGAATGAGGGAAACTGGTTATTAATTCTTTATTCTTATTGACTTATTCATCTGTTTCGTTGATTTGCTTAAATCCTTTAAGTTATTTGATGATGTTTAAGACTGTTTCAATGAGAAAATTCCTGAAAATTCATTTAAGTTATTAATTTAGCCACCTTGCGCACATTTGATATTCGATAGCTTTATAAGAGCTGAGCTAGATGGAGTAGGGTTGTGAGAAAGTTTAAGAATTTCAAGACTATTTTTGACTGTTAGACTCAAATTTCTATTCGAGTGTTAATCAACGGCAAAAGAACTTATTGCTCTTAGGCCTTATTTTTAATCTTCATATTGCCTCTTTTATTTAGTTTTAGAGTTTATTATTGTTTAGAAATAATTTTTATATTTGTGATAAGAGTTATACCACTCAATGGAGGTCCTGGACCAGTCCATAACCCAATCAATTCCTTTCTTACTATTTGGGAAGGCCACTATCATTTTCTGAATATAATAGTCATAATCAGGCTCATCCTCACTTTGCAAGTTATCAGTCATTTTTAGAAGCTGTCGAAATAAACCTGATTAATGAATGAATAAATTTATAATAATACAATTATGATCCTTGTTAGAGAGATAGAGATGGAAAGAGCATTTTTGCTTTTAAATCATCTTGAAAGTCTTTTAAAGATTCCCTTGACTCTCGATATCGGACCAGGGCAACCTACCTTCTTTGAGATATAAGAGTAGATAGAGTACTGAGATGATATCATCTTTTCTTGAAGGAGCTATATTCCCAAATCATTAATCTAATAAATTCTTACCTAAACCAAGCATTTACTGTCTACTGCTGAATGCGAAATTTCCGAAAAAGTCTCTTTTCAAAGAGGTATTAGACTAAAAAATTTTTTCTTTGTATTTAGCACTAACTCCAAAATCAATTAAATGCAAGATAGAGGACTAGGCTAGTCCAAAATCTCTTGATTCTAGCATTATATTATCTGGTTTAATGTCTAAATGTGCGAAACCAGTTTTATGAATTTGGCATATACAAGCAAACTACATACATGTGTTTAATATTGAAATAGAGTTTATTACCAGTTATATCCCAATTTATAAGATAGTTTTGAATGAAAGCATATCTGCTTGCTCTAAGAGAATTTATTACAGGCTAGCTCCGAGTTTATTCGTTACCAAGTAATAGTATTGCTTAAACGAACCTGATGATATTAATTTAGACAAACCTATAAGTTTATTTAATAATTATGAGTAATACCAAATAAACTCATTTCTTGAGCGAGTTTAAGAATCTATTTTTCATTTTCAAAAATGCTTTTATCCTGCATCTATAAGGTTGTCTGATAAATAAAGTTATACGAATTTTATGGCGACTAAAGTTTTGGAATGTGTGTCAATCGCAGACCAAACAGCTCCATAAGTTCCTTCGCCCAGGATTTATTGGAGATAAAATCGACTGTCAATCATTTAAGAACCTGAAAGCATCTAATTTATTAATTATACTGATGTGATTGATGATTAGATTAATAAGATGATATGTATGACTTAATATTTACATATAAAAAATATTCCTATAATATCTGCTAACCTTAGCATCATGGGGTTTTGGGGTTTTGGGGTTTTGGGGTTTTGGGGTTTTGGGG